AATGAGATTTCGTGAATGAGACTGCATCAATTTTAATCGGACTCGATCGAAAACAAGCATCAACATTATATAAGAAAAATGCCATTATTTTTTTATTATGTCTTTAATTTCTGAGAAACCAAATTTTAATCTGAAATTTTAATCGAAAGTATCATTGACATGAAAATTCTGGATTATTCTCTTACTAGAAATATCATACTAAAAAATATCATACTGAAAAATTATTAGTGATTAAGTATTACCAGTAATTCAGTAATTTTTTGGCCAGTGCTTAATTTCTGGTGAATACTGGTAATAAAATCACTGTAAATATTGATAGTAATCAAATACTGAGAATTATTGTGCGAAGGTGAAAAATGAGAAAATCATAATATTTAAAAAATATACTTATAATATCTAATTTTTTTATGTTTCATAAACCATTGAGTATCGAAGATTGTCAACACACACTCTAAACTTTCATGAATCCTCCTCTCGATAGTTTCGCCCTTTTCCAAGCGCCCTTATAGAAATATTATACTAAGAATCATTGATAATTACTTATTATCCAGTATTTTTAATACTGAAAATAAGTAATTATCAATGATTCTTAGTATGATATTTCTATAAGGGCGGTATATCACCGCTTACCCATCCATGTCCTGACTCCGTTAAAGTGTTGCTTAACCTAGTGATCGAGGGGCACACGGCGATTGCCAATGACTCCAATGATATTCCTACGATTTACGCTTATATAACGCTTATATCTTTACAGTGTTCACAGTATGTTATAACATACCTAGCAAACACCAGTCATATAATCATGTGTTCCGACGTAAAATTCCGACATACGGTATATTGAGTTCCAAGCCTAAGGGGTGCCGCACACGAATTGACATAATAGTAACGTATGACGTACCGTAAAAATGGACCAATTACAATTGAGCATTCACAAAAATGACAATCTTACGGTTCGACGATACTCAAAGTGAATGGTCAATTCTTACGCTACGTTTTACGTTACTGTTATGTAAGAATTTTTTATATCAATATTTTCTTTTGTATAGTTAATCTTTTAGCTGGATTTTTGTTATAATAGCTGAATTTTTGTTGTTATTCTCACTTGATGTAAGTCTCTGATATACATTTTGTAGGAATTTTATATAGCAACATTTTCTTTATATAGTATTTTTTAGCAGAATTTCATGTAACTTTTACTTGATGTTTGTTGGATAATTTGTTGATAGATATTGAAACAATGTAACAACATTCGATATGCGATGAATATTGATGTAATATAGTAAACCAGTGATAATTACTTTTAAATTTTTAACAGAATGTTATAATGATTAATCCTAACAGAAAAAATAAAAAATCCAAGAAAATTTAAATTAAACAAATCGAATTACTAAATGTAGAAAGAAACTTTTAAAAAATACTATTTAAAACAATAGTGTTATTTCATCAAATGACATGGTTTTCTTGAACGAAATAAAAATTTTTATTATCATCATTTAAAAAAATGATATTTCGTTTAATAATATAATATTATAATGAAACAAAAAAAACCTACCAAAATTAAACAAGTAAAATTAAACGAATATTAAATCTAAGGAAAGTGTTTTCTCCGAAAAAACGGTATAAGAAGTATAAGAAATATGTAATAAGACAAATTCTAGTATTAATGATTGCCA